AACATACATTTTAATTTGCCAGGCAAAAACGTGACACCCTGTATATCCAGATATTTTTAAAATATGTAGGTATTTTTCAAATCCATATAACTTTTATTTAAAACTTTCTTGCGTGTCTACATCAAAATAATGAACAATAACGCACTAATGGGATACCCTGTATAAATTATATTTTTAACAATGAAAATTTCTTATAATGTGGTACTTATCGGTTTGGGTCCTTGGGAAAACTAAAGAATGTTTTCTTGCAGATATAACCCTTATTAAAACAGCTTTTGACTGCACAAACAGAATGATGTCTTTTTTTTTACTCATTCTACTCATAGCTAAAGAGTCACCAAAATAATAACAGTACCTTTAACTCAAACAAAATCAACGAAATTATAGGCTCCACGAAATTATACAATCAACGAAATTATAGGCTCCACGAAATTATACAATCAACGAAATTATACGCACGACTCAACACCTTACCTAAGTACGCTTCTGAACACCAAAACCGTCTTTTCCCTTCGAAGGCGGAGCTTAAGCGATGCGCGACGAAATCGACGCAAACCGTTGCCGCCAAGAGAGTGTTTTAGCTGTATTGTATAAGCTGTGGCTGTAGTTTGTTATTTTGTGATCCCGTTTAAAAATCTCTTTCAATTTCACCACTGCATCTTCCTTCAAATCAATCTTTTCCCCAGTCTGTACTGTCAAGAGTTTTTACTTTATGTTGGGGTCTAATTAATAGAAGGAAATGATTTGCAACGTTCAAAGCCCCCCCTCCCCCCGACAATCGCCTCTCTGGTAAGTTTTTGTGTGGGCGTTGGCAATGTTCTTCTTTTTCCTTTATCTCACAGGATAATTTACCCAGTTGGCAATGTTCCTTTCTTGTTCATTAATTAAAGCAGACTTTGTTTAGACAACGAATGCAACTTTGCGCCAAGAGGTATGCAATCAAATATTCAGGGTTCAAACAGTTTAAAATTTTCAAAACAAATTAAATATTATACCGATGAAACTTCAAATCAAGAAAAACAGTTAAATTTGGAAAAGTTTGATTATCAAGTAAAGTCAAATAGTTGCTCAAATTATCAAACTTGATGCATCTCTGATTATAATTTTTCTGAAATTGGATAAAATAAAGATGAAATACTTTTTTCTTCATTATAGTTCATTATTTTTCCTTGTATAATATATAGGTCCTACATTTTTATAAATTTAATACTTAGTTATGGATTTCCAAGTGATGCAAAACTTTTTATTAAGAATTTGTTTTTGTGAAATGTTTTCCCATTTGTATAAAGCTATAATAAACTGAAAATAAACCACTAAACATATTTTGACAGTTCTCTATTTGCTGACCTTATTTTTTATTTTCAAAATTTTATTTTAAACTAATAATAGCATTTAATTTTTAGACCAATAAATAAAAATTTTTAAATAATCAATTTACTCACAGATTTGTTGGTAATGTCAAAAAAAAACTTTTAAATAAAAATAGTAAAAATAATACCTCATGCGGCATCTTTGATTCGAAGCGTCAACTAAATGCACTAAACGCTAGAGTATACTGTAGAAAACTGTAATTTCTTTATTATTTGTTAATCTTTTGGACAAATCAAATGTATTTTTAGAGAAAAGTAAATTTCTGTTAAATTTTGGAAAGTAGTACTTATAAGTTACTGATTACAATCCTTCCTATTGAGAAATAAGGCCACATTATTTATATCTTTGTACGTCGCGAGACTACCTGTTTCAGCTTTTTAACAATAGAGGGTACTGGAGGTTAGAAATAAATACAGTGACTTTATATTGTTCATATTGTTAAAGTTACTGTAGAAATAAAGAAATAAAATGGATTAGTAATCATTGTAGCATAAAGAACTATTAATTCCTAGTGTTTTATACAACGGCAACGGTTAAATGTAGTAGGTAAATATAAAAAAAAAATTGTCATGACGTACCTACCTAATGTGACAACTCAAATTATGATTTTATTCTTGCTTGTCGTGAGGTTTTTCATTAAAAAAAAATTGTAAATGGTAAAGGGTGGATAATCGCCAATATCTCGTTGTAGACAGATGTCTACTTAAAGGCTTATTAAATTAATTCTACGGAATAGTGCATTTTTGTTAAGTTAGTCAACAAAATAATTGAATATTGTGAATTTATTGAATCGAATAATAGTAGATCAAAATCCAAAAAGTCAGAAATATCTAAAATAAGTGGCTAAATAATTTTAAAATTCTGAAACAAATTTCAGAAAATCCCCTACGAATTATTAAGATCTTAGATTTGAAAACTAATACTTGGAAAATGGAAAAAAGCCTGTCATCGCCCGTATTCAAACCCAGACATCCTTATTATCCTCTAGACATATGCCCTTGCCTCTAGACCAGTGGTTCTCAAACATTTTTGGTGACAGAACCTTTTTGAAAAGCGAAATATTTGACGGAGCCCTAAACACATTTCTAAAAAAAAGTCTATATTGTCCTTCCTCTTAGTGACTCTAAAAAAACAGGCCTCAAACCAGGTGAGAATAAGAAGTCATAAAGTAACGCCCATCTGCATCTAAGCAAAATAAGCAAAAATCATAGTCTCCTTCCTCTAAGTGACTTCTAACTAAAAAAAAAGTCCTCAAGGTCCCTCCCTTTTGTAGCGACAGTACTGCTTTTTTTATTATTTTCTTCGCAGAGACCCCACAAAGGCTTTGCGGAGCACCAGGGCTCCGCGGACCACACTTTAAGTAACGCTGCCCTAGACCATCAACCACATTGACTGTCGAGATTCCTAGACATAAATTTGCTGTGCTAGTTTGGGTCAGATGACGTTCAAGTTCTTTCTCAAATCATCAAATATATACTGATGTTGTATAGTGGTATCATCTGTATTCCTGATTAGAGCATTCTGCATCGTGGGCCTTTTCAATCGCTTTGTATCTTTCCATAACTAAGGTACTCATTAACAAAATAATTTTTCATTTATTTTCTCTCTCTTTTTAAATGTTGGATAGCTTTTTTAAGTTTTATTTATTTTTATTTTTGCATAGATTAGGTTCCTTATTTCTTTACGATAGTTTTGTCCTGTCAAATAATTGGGGTACCTATTATCCCATGCTGCTTGCTGTGTATTAAACACAAGTAGATCTACTTCTTTATCCAACAGTGCTGTTGTTCTTAACGGAACTGAAAGATTCCTTTTCTTTTCAAGGTCCAGCCTGAAGCTTTTCCAAAGTGTTCTAATGTTTATTAAACTTATAACGCTTTTATATTGGATGAGAGTGAGGAGAATGGGCGAATGATCTGAATTCATGTTCCATGCTTCATCAACTCGGATATAGTTCACCAAATATTTCGTTAAACAAAAAATTCTATTAGGTCGGCTATTTTATTTCTATTTGTGGGCCAATAAGTTGATATGCCAGTTGAATGCGACTCACATATTAGCTGTGTCATTGCTTCTTTTAGATTTGTATCCTTAGTTGTTATTAGTCTAGAGCCTCAATGGGTGCGTATTGTATTAAAGTCGCCTCCAATGATATATCTAGGTCCTTGTTTATAAAGGAAGTCTAGGTATTATTCTTTTTTAACGTTATGTCTTGGAGGACAATATGTAGAAGTTACTATAACATCATATGTTAGATTTTATCATTATTAAAGTAGCCTGATATTCCTCAATCTTGTATCCCGCTTCTTATTTTATTATTACTGCGCTACCATCTTTCGTACTCCATTTTAGGGATGAATAATATGATTAACCTTATATCCCTTAAATTTAGGACCCCGCAATAATCTTATGGAAATTGGGTTTCTGTCAAATTGTCTGAATTTTTGATATTTTGTCATCCTGAACAAAAGTCTCCATGGGCACAAAGTGCCAAAATGAATATTTTGTCATCTACGGAGCTGCCAAAGCTCCCCTGACCCGTTGCAGAACTATTCATTTTCAATACTATTTACATATGTCAAAAGCAAATTTTAATTATTATAATATATAGGGTAATGTTCTTTAGGTCACTGGATTTAATCCTCATGTGAGATTGGACAAATTGACCGTTGACAGCTGTCAATTTACGGTCAACGAGGAATATAAAAGTAAATATCCTCTTTTCACATTGAGAGTTTGGGTTTTTGAGGTCGCTGAATTTAATTCTCATGTCAGATTGGACAAGTTGACAGTTGACAGCGAAAAGAGGATATTTACTTTTATATTCCTAGTTGACCGTGAATTGAAAGCTGTCAACTGTCAATTTGTTCAATCTGACATGAGAATTGAATTCAGCGACCTCAAAAACCCAAACTCTCAATGTGAAAAGAGGATATTTACTTTTATATTCCTCGTTGACAGTCAACTGACAGCTCTCAAGTGTCAATTTGTCCAATTTGACATGAGAATTGAATTCAGCGACCTCAAAAACCCAAACTCTCAATGTGAAAAGAGGATATTTACTTTTATATTCCTCGTTTACATTGAATTGACACCTGTCCAGTCTGACATGAGGGTTGAATCCAGTGACCTCAAAAACATTACCCTATATATAAGAATAATTAAGATATGCTTTTGACATCTGTAAATAGTATTGAAAATACATAGCTTTGCAACGGGTCAGGGGAGCTTTGGCAGCTCCGTAGCTGCCAAAATATTCATTTTGGCACTTTGTGTCTATGTAGACTTTTGTTCAGGATGATAAAATCTACAACATATCAAAAATTCAGATAATTTGACAGAAACCCAATTTCCATAAGATTATTGCGGGGTCCATTAATAAAGGACTCATTGGTAAAGTGAGTCACTGAAATTAAGCATACTACGTCTATGCTTTCTATGTCTAAGATTGCTTGCAATTCTTTTTGGTGCTACAGCAGTCCATTGGCATTCCATTTCATTACTATTAGTCTATTACTTATTTCAGTTAAATAAAGTAAAAATGTAGTCACAACATTTCGCTTTAACATTCTGATAAAAATGGATATAAAATGTCAACAAAATTTACGATATTATTCAAAAGAACTCACCAGTTACTGTAAGGTTTGACTCTGAATGCGTTTCTCCATGTTTATTTGTAGCGACACATTTGTAACAACCTGCATCTGATTTTTTGACCACTGGTATCACAAGCTCATAGAAACCTTTATCAGCATGTTCTTTGACGATCTGGTATTTCTCCGAATTCTCTGGTATCTTCTTTCCTTCTCTAAAGCTAAAATGGAAAATATTTTAAAATAACGACAATTACTACAAAAATCAGTTATTTATTTATCTACAACTAATGTTTACTTACAAGGCAACGTCAGGATGTGGTTCACCAGCAACTTTGACCATAAATCGAAGGTATGTGTCTTCTAACAGCTCAGCATCTTTCATGGATATTAGGAATTCTGGCTTATCTGTACTAGCTTTAGAAACTGCCTCTTCTGTAGTAACTAAAATTTATTATTTAAAAGATAATATTTGGTTATATCCGCAAAGAGTAGGTAATCAATACCATGCGTCAATTCAATAAAACTAAACAAAAAATAAATTAATTCAAAATAGTACATTGTCTGATTTTGAATATGATTTTAAAAAACTGTGAGGAATAATAATACCAGTTTTGTAATGAAATTGAAAGATATATGAACCGAAAACTTAAGTCAAGAAATTCAATTTTAGATTAGAAAACAATTTTTAAAAGGCAAAATAAATATCAGGAGAAAACGACTGTATTAGTTATTTAGGTAGTATGAATCCTGTGAACACATTTTACAATGATCCTATATCTAACCTGTAATAGCGTTATAACAGCTGGTTTAAAAAAAATTCTAGTAATTGTCAGTTCCAGGTACTTTAAATTATCAGCATTCGAACAAAATGTCAAAAATACCAAGAATTTTCAAATCCAATAAAAAACTTACCATTCATTATTTATTGCTAAAAAATCAAATTAGTTGGATCAACAAAATATTCGATTGTATACTATATTTCGGAATAATATAATGCAAAACAGTTTTTAAAAATGTTACAGTCCTGTGGCACACTTTAATTGTGTAAAAGTTTAAACTGCTTAGATTCGGAGTGGGTAGTTACAAAATAAGTTCACCTCAAAATTACTGACTCTTTGTATACATGATTACAAGGCCACAAAAGCCCTAATGTTATGCAGAAACATTGCAGGTAAACGATGGGGATGTAACCCAAACATACTGCGATGGATGTATACTACAATAGTGAGACCAATCATCACTTACGGGGCTATAGCCTGGAGTAACAGAACTAGTTTGGTTACTACGAAAGCTAATATCTCAAAAGAACAAATACTAGCCTGTGTTTCCATTACTGGTGCAATGAGAATCTGTCCTACGGCCGCAATGGAGGTGATTTTAAACCTCACCCCTCTACATTTGATGATAGAGAATGTGGCAAAAAGGACACAATATATAATGATCAGGAACGAAGTAATCAGACGAAAGTATACTTGCTTCAGGACTTAAGATACCTGCGACATGTCCCAGGATGAAATGAAAGAAGTACAGTTTTGTGGAAAACTTCAAAACCACAGAGTTGGGCTGCAAGAAATAATGGAGCCAAGAATACATCGCGCTTGCAACCGAAAGACGTGGCTATTCATTGGTATACGGACGGTTTCAAAACCATAGAAGGAACTGGAATAGGAGTGTATGGGTCGGAAACTAAGCGCTCCGAAAGCTTGGGAAAATAGCCAAGCATCTTGCAGGCGGAAATTCACGCCATCATGAAGTGTATCCAGTTTAACATCGAGAGAAACTGTCATAGACAAGAAATTATCATCATGTCCGATAGTCAAGCAGCCATCAAAGCGCTGAGCTCTTACGTAATCAGCTCAAAAATGGTCTGGAGATGCCTAGAACAATTAAATGAGCTAAACGAGAAAAATAGAGTTACTCTCACTTGGGTCCCGGGACATAACGGGGTACAGGGTAACGAGATTGCAAATAGTCTTTCAAGGAAAGAGGCTCAAACACCCTTTGTAGGACCTGAGCCATTCTGCGGTATCAGCAGTAACATAATATTAGGAGAGATAAAAAAAATAATTGGGCAGTAGAAGAACCGATAATTTGAACAATATTTTGGGAATAAAACAGGCCAAGATACTTTTGAGTGAATATAACCAGAAAAGATGAGAAGACTGCATCTGCCTCAGCAAGAACAGGCTACGTATTGTAACAGGGATCCTTACCGGGCATTGCCGACTAAAAGAACACCTAAATAAACTGAGAGTAGTAAAGGATAGTGAGTGCAGATTCTGTGAGGAGAAGGATGAAACCTCCATTCACATCCTAACTGAATGTGTAGCTCTCCAGAATCCAAAGGCACTATATCTAGGAAGATATCAAATAGAACAGGGAAATTTACCTAACTTTAAGCCACTTCAAATCCTACACTTTCCTGAGAAAATAGGATTGGAAGGGTCGTTAGGCATTGAGACATTTCTTTGGTGCATTAGCGACAGAAGGAGGCACAATAGATCTTTTAGGTCCCAACATAAAATAACATACATGATTACATATTACAAATATATGTGTGAATTAATAATTACTATCAATCAATGATACAAAATATTACAGAGATCTAATACTTAGCCGACGAAATCTCGTCTAGTTCGTATAGTTCCTATTGTTGTGTGGAATATGGCTATGAGCAAATTTTAATTTATCTTCGCCAGCTGTTTTTGATCAGTTTAAAAAACAAGTGCTTCAAAAGCAAATATTGTGTTCGTTAAATTAATATTTTTCCTTATGTTCTTTAATTTTTAAGTGAGTTTTAGTTTAAAATTGTATTTTGTGATAAAAGTTAATAATTATATAACTAAATAGAACTAAAATACTTATTATAACTGGCGATATCAGAATTACTTCATTTTCTTAGGGTGGTCATTATGCCTCGGCTTCCCCTAAATTTTTTGATAAAATTATTTTGTAATCGTTAAAAAAATATTGTATCTAACTTGTGCATAAGTAATTTATCATACTCTTGTGACTGTCACACTTAGTTTATGCCTCGTGCGACAATATTTCTCACTCGTTTGAGTCACTAATTTTACAAGTTAATAGAGGAGAATTTCAGCACAAGAATATTTTCTATAGTGATTTTATTCAAAGCAACATCTACATTAAGTTACTTTTTGGAATGTCCACTTTTTTATCACCAAAGTATTTTAAGTAGATAGATTAACAGGAAAAATATGTTTCTTGTTTTTGATAAATTCTTCAAGTTTATTATCAAGTAGGAACTGGAAGTCATAGCTTCTTCTAATGCTGTGTAATGTAAAAGTATAGATATGCTATATTATTTTTTTAATTAAATATATGGGTAGGTCTCTAACTTGTGGAGAGTGGGTTAACCCACGGCACTTAGGCCTCACTAGGCCCACTGTGCATGCTCCTAAGATAATAGGCACGTCCTAGCTCGTGAGCCAGCCTACAGATTTAATGTAGTTGACAACGTTGCCAAAAGGTGCTTCTCTTATATTGGCCGGTGTTAGCCGAACACAAATCTTCTAATAAATGAGAGCATTGAGCAATCGTAAAGGATATTTCTATTGGTCTCATCTTCTTGTTCGCACATCCTGCAAAGTGCGAATTATGACAACCCCATGACATGGAGATACTTCCGAAATTGGCAATGACCAGTCAGAATGTCTCTGACCAAGCGCAGATTCTGTCTAGTCATAGTCAAGCATTTATATACTGTAGTGTCAGAATAACTTGAAATCTCCTAGTTTCTTGTTTTATCCCATCTTTCCTAAAATTTCACAAGGGAAGGTTCTTAAATTAGGTCTGTCACTACCGATTATGTCAGACCAATAGAAGGACCAGGTCCAAAAATTATTTGATGGCTACTTTTTTGGCCTCTGAATCAGCAAGGCGGTTACCTTCCGGTGTGGCGTGACCTTTGATTCATCTTAAGGTGGCTTTCATTGTTGATGGATACTTTGCCCAAGGCTTCGTGACATTCTAGTACTAACCCTAAGTAAATTCGTGGTCTGTTTAGGGTGAGTTGTGCTTGTATACTATTGGTATAGATAAGCATGTTCCTTCCAGTGCTATTTTTTCTGTATAAATGGGTGGTTAGAAATGGTTCTTTTCACACTATGTTGAGCTGTAAGTGGTTATTTATTAGAGAGAAAAAAAAACCATTTTTATAAAACAAATTTATGTGTTTTTACTTTACTTTACAAATAAAAATAGGGAGTATTTGAGGGTTGTCGAGGAGACTTTAGCTTAGAATTTTTCTTCAGGATTTCATAAATTTTGGTGGTCCAACTAATTTAAGTAACATTCAAAAAAATATACAGTGATAAAATATGAAGCATGATGATTATATGAAACAAGCATTAAAATAAAAAAAAAAGATTAAGCAAAATACTAACACTCATGCACAACTAGCTGAGCCGAACAAGTGGATTCCCCCTTTTCATTTTTGGCTACCGCACAATACATTCCACTATCCTCTTTTTTGGCATCATTAATAGTTAATTGAAATGTATTTGATGCTTCGTTAAATCCAAACTGCAACCTCCCAGAGAAATTGTTGGCTCCATTCAGCTGCTTGTTGTCTTTCAGCCATACGAAAGATTTCGGTTTAGAACTAAGGGTTGCTTCAAAGTGAGTAGTTTTTCCAGCTAGCGTTAAAAGAAATAGATTAGGAAATGTTTAAAATATTTTGAACTTTTAATTATTATTGTTTTACTTAGAAAAATATGTATGTGGATATTTTGTTAAAAATTTAAATTGATATTACATAGTTAGAAGTTCAGAATATTTTAATTGAAAGCTGAGAGAATAGAAATAAAGATGGTGTACTAAAGCATTGCTTGCGTGGTTTAATGTATCATGATTAACTAATATATAAATAGAAAGTAAGAATCAGCTGCATACAATAATTAGATATCTCTAGAATTGACACTTTTTTACAGGGACAATATTGGTAATGATGGTCATTTAAAAACGAAACTTCTTATTGTAGGTTGGAATTTAACTAATTAAGAAGATACGATAATCAAACAATGTTAATTTTAACCATTTGGCTCATAATTACGGTTATTTCAACAAATATATCAACAACAATTAAATACCGCTGCTAATATTCCCTTACAAATTAAAGTTTGAAAACAACTTGATCCCTGGAATTTACCTTATCTCCTGAAGCTGCGTCAGATTACAATATTAAAACTGGTAATCTCTATGACGAGGAAACCTCTTACAATTTAAACAATATGTTAAATTGATTCTTTAATTTACATGTTATTTAATAAACAAACTTTAGCCTTGTTGCCAGGTATTTAAAAGTGCAATAGATTTTAATATTCTTTAAAAAATATAGAAAAAGAACAAATATTGCGGAGAAATTTAAGAAAAGGTATAGAAAAGGTCTCTAATGAAAATGATTACAATGCTCTCGTAGAATATATTTGTCAAAATCCTTTTGGAGAGAAGAAATATTATTCTCAGGATTTCCTAGAACATCTTAAATACTTCCAAAATAAAGTGTTTTAAAAAGCTGCTCTGCCACGCCCCAAAGTGTTTTAACTGCAGAATATAAGCGCAGAAGAGTCCAGTTTGCAAATTTTTATTTCACGGGGAGAAATTTCAAAACGAAGTGGCATCCTTCAAGGAAAAGGCGTTTTAATCTTCTAACAGGCTATGAGTTTCCGGTTCTAGGTGGACAAGTATGAGACGTCGCCTAGAGTCTACCCGTAGTAGGATCATTGTGCAATTCCATCACATGAAGGTATTTCAACAAGCAGTGCCTCGATAGTAGTCCCATAATAGTATATATCTGAAGCCTTGCGAGTTGTTTTTTATACTTTCTTTTTGCATGTATTTCAGCATGAAATACAGTAGTATGTTTTCCCAGTGAGATGATGATGATGATGATGTCACGACAGAGCTTGTTCCCTGGTTAGTTTTAGATCCATCCATATACCATACGAGACAGCTAAGCAAGTATTTCTCTACCTCCTTATTAACCTCGTTCCAGTTGTAGTTGACCTAGAAGAGTCTGTTGGAGGTTAGGCGGAGTGTCATGTAATCTGATCCTATATTTACTATAGGATCATTTACTTCATGTGTTATTCTGGTATGTTTTATATGTTCCTGTAGGTTCCAGTTGGAGATGTCCAGTCTGTATGAACTCATCCTGACCTCCTCCTTTATGACAAGGTCAAGGGGTAGGAGGTTTATAATTATTTCCATAAAGGTTGTTAGTGTACGTCTCAATGCTCCTGTAATACAGAGGCATGCCAGTCTCTTAACTCCAGAGAGAGTATTGAGGGCTGTTTTTTGGTTTAATTTTGGATACCAAACAATCGCTCCATAAATTATCATGTGTCTTGTTATTGCCAAATATAGCCAGTGGACCATTTTCGGTTTTAATCCTCATGTTTTTCCAAATGCCCGTCTCCCTACAATGAGAGACATTTTACATTTATTGGTCACTTTTTGTAAGTGTTGGTTCCAAGTAAGTATGCTTTGTATGATTAGACCCATATATTTTACTTGGTTAGTTTTGTTTAGCCTTCCTTTAAACAGAGTCAGAATTTCTAAGAAATCCAACTTTGTTTTCCGAGTAAAGATTATGAGTTTTGCCTTGGTAAACCCTGACGTTTTCTTTAACTCACCACATTTCTGTCAGCCTTAGAGCTCTTTGCATAGGTTTTGAAACGGTGGTTTGGTGTTTCCCTCGGATAAGAATGACTATGTCGACGGCGTATCCTTGGGCGTACAGCCTTAGGTTGTTCAGTGTTTTCAGCAGTTCATATGCCACTAGGTTCCATAGTAGAGCAGAAAGGATTCGACTCTATGGGTATCCCCTTTGGATATTAACCTGGATGGTTTCACTGAACATTTGTGCCTGTACTTGCCGTCCGCGTTAACATGTCTTTTTTCCAACAGCAGATGGTGTCATCTATTTCATATTTGCGAGCGGCAGCTACCATTCATTTAAAGGAGGTCATATTAAAAGCTCCTTCTATGTCAAGAAATGATCCTAGGACCATTTCTTGGCTACTGAGTTCCCCCTCTATATTGGTTACAAGATGATGCAGAGCAGATTTTTCTGATTGATAGGCATGTTGGTTTGTATTGAATGGCCTCTCTATCAGAGTGATTTGCTGGACATGCTGATCAATCAGTTTTTCTAATCCTTTCAATAGAAATGACGTCAGAGTTATTGGTCTATAGCTCATTTCCACGGCATATGTTGGACGTCCTGGTTTAGGTACATAAACCCCTCTGCTTTGTTTTCAGGTATTTTGTACATGTTTATGCACTTAACTTGTCCTCTAGAGCCTACAAATATGCGGGGACAGTGTTTCCATTGCCTAAAGCACAGGCAATACCCCATCTGGTCCTGATGATTTGTATGTTGCTACTATACTTTCCAATCTTCTTGGCATAGACAAAATTAAAGGTCGCATGTCATAGAGATCTACGAGCTCTTCTCAAGCATTTTTAAATACTTCCCATAGTTGACATCGGTTTACCAGCCGAAAAAATTTCTAAATAATCTTTCCGACTATGAAGACCAATACGTTTTCAAAGGGATTAAAGTCAGGATGTTTTGCTGGCCATGGAAAAACATTTCTGTTGTTAAGCAAAAGTAAAAATCTTAAAATCAATACCAAATAAAAAGTTTCTATTAACTACATGTTAACAAAGGCAACAAAGGCAACCGGTTTCGGCTCGACAGCAACCTTCAGGTCTATAAAAAAGATACATAGGGTTCAGATAATTCACAAAAGAGGTTGCTGATACTGAAGAAAGTTCAAGAATTAAAAGTGATCTACCATCATGTTTCGGTGGTCAAAATAAGTAAGGTAGTGTTTAATGTACGAGTGCAGAGAAATTAGAAGAATAGTAGTATTCAGAATAGTATACAACCGGACTTTGTAGTTAGTGTAACTTACTGCGATGAAGGTATTCGATTTGAATTAAAATTAAATCATTAAATCTATTTTACGTATATTTGAGAATGTTTAAAATAATTTCTGTGAAATGTAGATGAGATACTTAAATTTTTTGGTAGTTCTGCAACTTTACAGTACAGTACAATATTTACGCACCAGCCGCAACTGCATCTTAGTAACTACGAGTGGATCTTAATTATACAGGGTGTTTTAAGAAGGTATGTCATAAATTCATCCTCAGATAGATTACCTAAAAATAAGTGGATTTGGCTATATTTACCTATATCAAAAACTGGCTCCCAACAAAGTTACAGGGTGCTAAACTAACATTCAGAAAAACGTTTTTTATTTTTTTTGTAAAAAGTTTACTGAGCGATTTTGTCATCAACGTGTTACCTTCCTTCGTTATTAATTGCGTCCGCCCCTTATAAGGGTCACATCAATGGATGTTGCCCCGTTCGTACCAACTTATCACTTTTTTAACAGTAACAGTTACACCATGGCGTTTACCACGATCGTCTATCTATACTTGCTCATAATATAAATCACACTCTTTCAGTTCCAACCACAAAGTCCGGCTCTCTAAGTACTACCATACTACCATTCTTCTGGTTTTTCTGCACCCGCACATGAAACACTACCCTACTTGTTTTGACCACCGATGATAAATCACTTTTAATTTTTTACTTTTCGTTAGTACTAGCAACCTCTTTTGAAGTATTTATGTAGTATGATGTATTAATTATAATTATTTTAACTATTACTTTTAATCAACATCGACCTGCCCCTAATCTATAAGTTTAAGTTAATTTTTTAAGGTTTGTTACCAACTTATAGTTTTATGTATTATCTAAACCCTATGTATCTTCTTTTTAGACCTAAAGATGGCACTCAAGCTGAAACCAGTTAATATTTAATTAATAAAACTTTTTATGCAGACTGATTTTAAGATTTTTATTTTCACTTATCAACATAAATGTCTTTCTTTGGCCAGTAGAACGTTCTGACTTAAAACCCATTGAAAGTATGTGGAGCTGTATAGTCAAGAAGAATAATCAAATAACTTTTCCGCCGGTAAACCGCGGTCAACTATAGGAAGTTATTGAAAATACTTGGAAAGAGGTCGTAGATTCCTACGACATGAACTTTAATTTTGTTTATGCCAACAAGATTGAAAAGTGCTGTGGCAATCAATGTCCCTGTAATAAAATAAAACACTTTTCTTGTTACAGCTGTTAAATTTATCATTATAAACCTTTTCTACACCTAATCTGAAAAGTCTTTGCAATCTTTGTAAAATATGCAACTTTTACCGACATTTAATTCAGCACCCACTTACTTAAAGAACAGTTTTCGATTAATTTTGTTATTGCCTTTGATTTTAACTAATGTTATTTTTTTTAGTTAATTTAATTTTGCTAGTCTTACATTTTCTATTATAAAAAATAAATTATTTTTGTAATTTTATATAACTAATTGTTAATATTTAATTTTGTTACAAATAACCTGTTTTTTGAAATTTTTGTATTTTTTTAATTTTTTTGCTGCATATTTAATGTTGACAAAACCAATTCAACAAAACGACACTAATAAAAGAAATATATTTTTTTGTCAATATTCTTCCCTCTCTTTGTAACACTGGCCAAAGCCGAACTACAAAAGAGGAATATTTTTTTCAACTATATGTTGTATGATTCTTTTTTTGGTCCCACATAAATTTGGTGAAGGTGATGGGATCCATGAAAAAATCAGGAAACTTAATTTCTAATGGCATCCGTGGAGTAGCTTTTCTACAATTACTTTTATGACTTGTAAATAAAATACTTACGTTCAATGCTGGCGCCATGAATTGTTTTAATAAATTTAGGTCTGCCGTCCAGTTCATCCAACTTTTCTTCTGCTGATTTCTCTCTAACACTTCTCGACTCCGCTGAGAGATGGTCATGAATTTCTTCTTTCTGTAAACTCGATTCTGACATTGCAACTGTTTCTTTAGTTCCCGTTCTTTCTGATGATTCTACTACTCTCTGGCTTACAGATTCCGACGACTTTTGCGAAACTGTATCTGAAGATTGTTGGGAGGCTTCCACTGACGCTTTTTGAACGGTAGCTTCGGAAGCTGTTTGAGAAACACTTTCGGATATTACTTCTGATTTTGATTCGATTTTTGAACTTTCGGTGGATTCCTTAGCGTACGATTCGGATTTTGCTTCTTTTGAGGAATATGATTCTGAAATGGCACCTGATTCTTTGATTGCTGATTGGCTAGAAATTTTTACTGATGATACCTCTTCTGAAATAATTAATGTAGTATTAGAATTGAAAATACTATGGACATCAAATTATGTAACTATATTTTGAAGATGAAGATTACGATATTGGTCCAATCAAAATTCGGATCAGGTAACGTAATTTTACATGAAGTCTCAAGGGTATTTGAGCATCAGTACATCTTAAAATACAAAACTACCTTTTAAGGGATATTTTGAAGATAAACGAAACATGAAACTTGGGGCATTATATGTTTCTGTCCTTTGATGAAGCAAAATAATACGGAAATGTACCTTAAAGAGTTTCATCATAGAAAAAAACCACTATGAGTGAGTTGAGGTGATAAAACTACCCTCCTAAACTTGTAAATACCACCAAAAATCGTATTTTATTGTAGATCTGTTTGGGAAATGTATTATCCTCTTAGCTGGGTTAAAACTACCCCTCAGCACGCAAACAAATCCTCTTTGGGGATGAATGAGTGGGAATTCAAGTTAAGAAGCTAAAGTCCTAAAAAAAGATTTGTATAAATTTTAAATAGTATATAATAATAAAAGTTACCCGTAAAGGGTATCAAAAAAAAAAAAAAACGTCCAAGTGAGAGTCGGACTTGATCGTACAAGATTTAATAGTTTGTAATTACATTTTAAATACTATACCTCATGAGATACAGCCCGCTGACAAACGGGGATTCTCAAAGCAGCAAAAAAATCACCAGAAATAATATCATTGGAAGAAACATGCTCATCTATACAGATAGTAGACAAGCACTGCTCATCCTGGGCAGACCACGAATGTATTCAGGGTTACTACTAGAATGTCACGAAGCTTTGGCCGAAGTATCCATCAACAATGTGGTCAACTGAAGGTGAGTCAAAGTTCACGCCACATAGAAAGGTCTTGCTGATTCACTTGCCAAGAAGACAGCTAACCAAATACTTTTTGGACATGGCCCTTCTATTGAACTGACAACATCGGTAGTGAAAGGCCTAATTAAGGAATATTTCCTTGTGAAATTTAAGGAAAGATGGAATAAAATAAGAAGCTGCAGACTTACTAGGAAGCTTTTAAATTATCGTGACAACACTATAGCGAACAAGTATTTGACTATGACTAGACAGAATCTTCACCTGATAACAGGCATTCTGACTAAACATTGCCAACTACAGAAGCATCTCCATATCATGGAGCTGTCAGAATCTGCACTTTGCAGGGAGTGCGAACAAAAAATTAGACCATCAAGGATATCATCTACGATTACCCGATGCTCTCATTTATTAGAAGATTTTTATTTGGCAAGAATTGGCTAACACCTACATTAAAACTGTAGGGTGTAAGCTAGGAGGTTCCTATCTACTTAGGATAATGCACAATATGGGCATGAAAGGGCCCACCCTCCACACGTTCCAGATACAGAGACAGAGAGCGGAGTCTTAGTAATAGGGTACCGTTGCTGATCCTTCGGATACGGTACCCTAAGAAAGGATGCTGGCGGTCGGTGGCTGTAGGATACAGCCTACATCTTCGAAACTATGTGTCGTGAAACTTAAAAAAAAATTATAGAACACTGATCAAATGGAATTGCTGAAAAAGCTTTATTTCCAGCTAATATACAAAAAAAAATAAATGAAAAATATTGTTTGTTTTATTTTTAAGTTTGGGAGTAGTTTCATCTGCTTTATCATAATCCATGAGGGCTACTTTTAGGGTACATCCCCGTATCATTATATAAAAATAAAAAATAAACGAATATAATGTGTTAAATTCGTCAACATTATCCGTATTTTGACTGGATCAATATTCTCATTTTAAATTGTTATTACAAAAAATATCCAAGTTTATCTAGTAAAAAAGCTGCATTAAAACTGTTTGATGTGTTTTGTGGATTAAACAATTAAAAAAAAAATTTTTATCGCGAAAAACTTGTTTCTTCATATCGTCATAAAGGGTAAAATTGTATTTTACCTGTAGGTTAAGAATTGAAGAATAGGCTGAATAAAATGGAGACTGTTTTCCAAAAAAAAGTAAATTAATCAATACAGAGTTCACTTACCATCATCTATTTCAGCGTATTTTTTTGATTTTCTTTTATTTGATTCTATAGCTTTTGAACTAGTTTGTTCTTCGACTGCAGAATCTTTTCTCAGATATTTTCTGGCATATTTTTCGTACGCATCCTCTTCATCATCGTCTTTCTTTGTATCTCTAGAAGTATTTCGCGAATATTTTCTGCTGTACTTGCTGTCTTCTTCGTCATAGGACTTTTTATCCGATGAGGAATCAGTTCTAGAATACTTTCTTGTATATTTGGCGTATTTGTCTTCTTCTTCATCGCCAGGTACTTTACTACCTACAGAATATTTTTTTGAATATTTAGACAGCAGATCGTCTGCGTCACTTTTTTCTTCTTCTATAGATACAGATCTTATGGAATATTTGGAGCCTAAATCAGCTCCAAGGCCTCTTTTGGAAGTGTAGCTGTAAGTATCATTTGTTTCCGAAGGTTCTATACCAGTTCCTTCGGTAGACGTCCTTATAGATTTTCGAACCGAATAACTATCACCGTCACCAATTCCTTCTGTTCTACTTTTAACGCTACGTCTCGAGAAACTGTAGCCATCTTCATCACCTAATCCTTCTGTTGTTCTTGCTACTGATCTGGTAGATTTTCTGGAATAGGAACCGTACGAGTCACCAACGTCTCCGTCACCTTTAGTTAATCTTCTTGAATAGCTGTAACTGCCACCGTCATCGTCGTCTAAAGAAATTTTGGATTTTCTACTGTAACTGTAGTCGTTATCTGCATCACCAGTCAAAGTTTTTCTAGAACTGTAACTAGAGGTGAGCGCAGAAGAGTCTCCCAGATCTGTACTATATTTTCCGTATTTAGATGAGGCACTGTCATACCTGGATCCTCCAGTTAAAGCTGAATCCGTACCATATTTACTATCCGTACCATATTTACTATCCGTACCATATTTACTATCCGTACCATATTTACTAGAACTAAGACCTGAACTGTATCGAGATGATGAAAGTCCATCGGTTGAATGGAAACCAAGCTCTGACCGTCTGGTGTATGAGGACTCATATCCACCTTCTGCGAATGAATATAATTTATGAAGATCACATTGTATTTTTGTTGGTTTAGCTCAACGAAACTTGTAGAAGCGGAAGATGCTGCCAATTTGCAAAGCCAATTGTCAAAGTGGTGACTGTGTTGAAATGTTATTTGGATATTATGTAAGTCTGTGTAGAATCGCTTATAGCTATTAATACTGCTGATAGTTAATTGCACACTTTCGATTTGTTAATCTTTGGTTGGCCATTTATTTCTGCTTTATATTAATAATTTACCACATGAATTGGACTAAGGAGAACTAAGATTATTGTCCATATTATATATTTTGAACTATTAATTAACCAAATTTCATTCAAATTGTACTTATCCTAATGTTAAACTAAAGTATACCGGGTGTCCCAGATTTTTTTGCCCAGCGGATATCTCGGTTATTTAATGATATAAAATTGTAAAAAAAAATATGAATAATATTTGTCTAGTAGCCTTTTAAATTCCACTACATAAAGTTATATTCATCAATCCACCCCATAGGAACAACCCCTAACTTTTTTTTTTCAAATGTCACCCCTATATTTTTTTTCGCTGATATAAATACTCAATTTGTCCCGAATGCAACGATATGATATTTGATATACTTTACAGAGTCATAAAGCCGGTAAAGACTAAAAACCAATGTTGTGGTTAAAGTCATTAATTTTGTATCACCTGGTATTTTCTTTTTATTTTGATTAGAATTGCTTCGTTTTTGTTTTTTTTTTTGTTACCTATAACTAACTAACGATATGCTTAGACCATTTCTGAAATTGTTCGCTAGCTATAAACAACAGACAAAATGCCCTTTACATTCACTCCAAACAAATATGTTGATATGCTTTTAATTTTTGGTGAGTGCCAAAAAAATTCTCGTGCTGCTATACACTTGTATCAACAGAGGTTTCCTGAGCGCCGACAACCATCACGTAAAACATATTCTTATGTTGAGACTAGGATGAGAGAAGGGTCATTTCCAGGAAAAGACAAACATCGTCAACATGCTGCTCCTGTAAGAACTGAAGAAATGTGCATTAATGTATTAGCTTATGTGCAAGTACATCCCCAGATATCGACGCGAAACCTAGCTAACGAGGTTCATATTAGTAAGTCGTCAGTACAAAGAATCCTAAAATCCTATAATTTTCATCCGTTTAAAATTCATTTGCATCAGGAACTTAGAGCTGGAGATTTCGAAAGAAGGATAACATTAATAGCACATTTTGAAGATTTAATGGAACGAAATCCCAACATTTTGAACCAGATATTGTGGAGTGACGAATCAAGGTTTCACAATAATGCTACTGTAAATCGTCACAATATGCATTATTGGTCTCCTGAAAACCCTCACTGGGTTAGGGAAACTAACTTTCAGACCATCTGGGGAGTAAATGTGTGGTGTGGATTATTTCAGGGACGACTGATAGGTCCCTATTTTTTTCAAGGTACGTTAACTGGTGCTAGGTACTTACACTTTCTTGAAAATGACCTTCCAGAACTTCTTGAAGTAATTCCAATACAAGAAAGAGGTGCTATGTGGTGGCAACAAGATGGAGCTCCTCCACATAATAGTAATTTAGTTACCCAATTTTTAAACGAACGCTTTAAAAATCAGTGGATCGGAAACAGCGGCCCTTTGAGGTGGCCTGCGCGTTCACCAGATTTATCGCCTCTAGATTTTTTTTTATGGGGATATCTGAAGACCGTGGTATTTGAAACACAGCCATTGAATTTAGAAGATTTGCAAAATAAAATAGTACAAGCCTGCAATAACATTACACCAGAAATGATTACAGCGTCATGTACTCGTGAACTCATTCGACGTTTTGAAGCATGTTTGGCAAGTAATGGGGGCCATTTCGAACAATTTTTGTAAATATTCAATTATTTAAAAAACATATTAAGAGGTTTACCTATTCATTGGATTTGTTATTTTTTAATATAATAAAATGATAAAATGTAAACTAATTATTAATGACTTTAACCACAACATTGGTTTTTAGTCTTTACCGGCTTTATAACTCTGTAAAGTATATCAAAAATCATATCGTTGTATTCGGGACAAATTGAGTATTTATATCAGCGAAAAAAAATATAGGGGTGACATTTGAAAAAAAAAAGTTAGGGGTTGTTCCTATGGGGTGGATTGATGAATATAACTTTATGTAGTGGAATTTAAAAGGCTACTAGACAAATATTATTCATATTTTTTTTTACAATTTTATATCATTAAATAACCGAGATATCCGCTGGGCAAAAAAATCTGGGACACCCGGTATACTAATTAATTTTTTAAAACTTTTTGGTTGTATTTTATAACGATAGTATTGAATAAAGTAAATAAATGTATAATAATTGATGATTCTGATAGATTCAGTCCTCAAAATGGTGCGTGGGAAAGATTTATCTAACTATAAATAAATATATATAATTGCAGCTCATGGAAGGGGTATTACTAGCCAAAAAATTAGTGATAACTTTTATATAGGGGAGACTGGGGAGGGTTCAGACAGAGGGAGGTTTGAGCCATAAATATTGCATTGGTATCTTAAAATAAATTTACCTTTCCGTTTAGTGGATGCTTAATCATTGCTTCTCTCCCATTGTCTAAGTTCAACAACAAATAGAAGTCGTTTACGAAAGTTATAGTGTAAAGTTGTTTTTGAGAAATGTATAAGGATTCTTTATTTACATTATTATATTTGGAAATATATGGATGAATTACACGAATAACATACTAATTCAATATACTTTCATGTATTAAATTATTTGTTAGATTATGTTTTAACCTCAAACTCGTAATTTATTATGGCTACTAGTACGAGGGGAGGGATGAACAGATTTTATGTGGGAGGTTTGAGACATGGATCAAACCTCCCATCATGGTTAGAAAATACCTGTACTTGGTTTCCATTATTTTTTTCTTTCTTTTCCTAATAAAAAAATATAGGCTAACGTAGATTAATCTTTAGCTTCTTCTGCTAAAATCTTCACTGCAGCATCTACAATAATATTTTTTTGCAGATTCCTTTTAAATAGAAATCGAAAGGCTGACTGCCTACTAATCCTCAAATTTTGGAAACTGCGGTACGGTAAATATGTAGTACTAATGGTAAAATCCGCACAGTCGCCAAAATACATAATATTTATAGAACGACACTATCTAGATACGTAAATAAATTTAAATCAAACGAACTTATATCGTTTGTAGCAAACTTTAATTCTTCACAAATTTTTACTAATCAAGAAGAATATTTTTTAGTTCAATATCTGCTCAAATGCGCTGTTTTATATTATGGACTTACTCCAATCGCATTACGAAAAATTGCTTACATCTTTGCAACTGAAAATAACAAAAACATTTCAGTAGCTTGGTAGAAAGATAGAGCAGCAACGCGTGATTGGCTGAGAGGTGTTATGTCAAGACATGATAACTTATCATTTAGGACACCAGAAGCCACGAATGTAGAACGTGCCTCTGCATTTAATAAATACACCGTGCAGCTATTTTTTGACAATTTAAAGACCATTATGACAAAGGAACAGATTACACCTGATTGCATATATATATAATGAAGATGAAGCTGCAAAAAATAATTGCAAAGAAAGGCCAGAAGCAGGTGTCAAAGGCAACATCGTGTGAAAGAGGATCACTGGTAACAGTTTTATGCACTATAAGTGCGTCTGGTAACACTATTCCCCCATTTTTTTATTTTTCCGAGTGTTAGAATCTAGGATTATATGACAAGAGGACTTCCCATTGGTGCCGATGCTGCTATTAATCCATCAGGTTGGATGACCCACGAGAATTTTAAAAAAAATTTACTGCACTTCATCAAGTATTCCCAAGTCACCGAGAATCACAAGTGTCTGCTGACACTAGACAACCATGATAGCCATATTTCCCTAAAAGGGCTTAACATTTGAAAAGAAAATGGAATAATACTACTCACTATTCCACCTCATATAAGCCATAAGATACAGTCCTTGGACACCAACGTTTTCGGGACTTTTAAAAGTTTTTATAATGAAGCGACAGATAACTGGATGGACAACAATCCTGCACAGCTGATATCCTTAAAAGAAATAACTGAACTTGTGGGAAGTGCTGACGTTCGCGCTTTTACGCCGGTCAATATAATAGGTGGATTTTCACATACTGGTATTTGTCCATATAATCCAGCTGTATTTTCAGATAGTGATTTTATCAGTTTGGAAATTACAGACCGGCCAGATCTATCTGAAGCTTTACAGGCTACAGAAAATTTACTTTTAGCTGTTCCTAGTACTTCCCAAAATATTCCAAATGCATTTGTAAGCCCTGAAGTTATAAGGTCATTTTCTAAAGCTCTTTCGCGTAAAAAGAAAGCTGGAAGGAAATGTGTGAAAACACGGATTTTAACGGACACCCCCGAAAAAGACCAAATACAAAAAGAATTTTAGGAAAGAGCAAAGAAAAGGGAAGAGCAAAATAAAAAAAAGGAACGAAGAATGGAAGAAAAAAAAGATGAAAAACAGGTGCTCGGTAAACAAAATAAAATCGAGATATTCATGGAGGAATCTGAACAATCTAAATATTTTGAGTTCTGATATTGAGGAACAGATTAAAAAAGATAATGCCGAAGAAAGCTTAATGAATTAAAAACTTTGTAAGGATGACTATGTTCTTGTACGATTTTCTACCAAAAAGACTGAGATTACTTGCTTCAGCCATAAATATTAGTGGCAATGATTACGACTTTTTATGCATTAGACTAAAGCCTCCAGGATACAGAATTATTTTTTTAGATGTTGCCGAGGAATGTTGCGCACCTTGGGACGATCTGGTTAAATTATCAAACCCCTCCTTTACTGGAGGAACAGCAAGAACACATAGGACCCTTTCTTTTGCAGTCGATTTTTTCAAATATGAAAATTTCTTCTAGGTGTTTTGGCAAATAATTTTATGACTGCTGTATTATTTTATTTTTTTTTTTAAGTACATATGT